ATAAAAAAAGTGTTGTTATACAATGATAGTATTCACATAACATTTGTAAAACAAAATAATTTAAAAATTAGTATATATTACCAGAGGCATTGCCCCTGGTGGGAGGGCAGTTTGCTCAGGAGTTTTCATGCAGGCAGGTTGCTTCAGTGAAGACTAAAATGTAAACAGGGATTAATTAAGAAAACATCAAATTCATCAGTCTTTATTCAAAAAATTTTTTAAATAAAAATTGTTACAAAATAAAATTGATTAAAAATATCACATAAGGGTTAAAATTGATATTTAGTACAGACAATACAAAACTCAAGTCACATCTAAAACTCAATACAAAAGTTACTGATCTGATAAATATTTCTTCCTCAACATCTTATACTCGTCATAAGCCCTTGCTTCAGGAGTTGGGATAGGATCTTGCGTGAGGTGCTCATACAGGTATGTTGGAGGTACACAAGGAATACCTTGCCTAGCAAATGTATCAAGACACCCCTTGTGGGTAGACAAAGTAACAATGCAGAGAGAAGGGATCTTCTGAGACCTAAAATGTTACATAAATTATAGCACAATCAGCAAAATTATAATTTGAACATAACAAATAATTTAAGTCTGCAAATGTTATTATGTACTCACTTTTCAGGTAGAACTTTACCACCCCCTGCAGCAACCAACCTTGAAAAAGGAAGAGCTTTTTCTGAAAATATCTTACAAACAAAATCACTAAATGCACCACGACCTCCATTTTCAGATATGGTGGTTCTCCACCGATAAACAGCTTTCGCCATGGATTCTTCAACAGTGTTAGGTTTCAACCGACTTAAAAGGTTGTTTTTTGGGTTACCCCATTCAAAGTCTTCTTCCTGTCAACCAAGAATTCAGTTAATTTCAGGTAAAGAATTTATAAACAACCAGGAATAAAAGCTTAACTACCGGAAGGAATTCCCCATGTTTATCACTCTCAAACAAGAAGGACATGTGTAAAACCCATTTCCCAGCAGCAATAAAAGCCAATAACTTTTCACTGCGCTGTGGGGCCTTTTCAAGTAGAAGATGAGTTGCCTCTGGATTGTATGATTGGGAATCAATGAGGACTCCTCCAAGTTTTTGTATGGTGGATATATGGGGTTCTTTGGTCTGTAAAATATAATATTGATGAAAGTATAATTTAGAAAATATACTGGAGAGTTCTAGATGCTTAACAAATAATGCAAGAGTTCATCAACAAGAATTTACGTACTTCAACAGCAGACATGCAAAACTTGTACACCTTTCCAGAACTTGCTCTTTTAGAATCAGTTTTGGGGATCTCATGGTGTAACTTCTTCGGTTCAGGAGCATTTTCAGCATTTTCAGAGCTCTTTCTTTTGGCTGGCAGTTCATTTCCTTTCTCGTCTTGATTAGGAGTCACACTTTCTTCCTAAAAGTCCAAAACTTAAGTTGAGTAATAAGCGTTGCTAGATATTTCAAAATTTGTGCCAGTTCAAAGAACTTACCGAGACAGATCTCTTAAGGTTAACCGGGTCCTCCCACTGAATAGCATATGGTTGAGAACCATCTTTGAGGGGATCTAAAAATATTAATTGCCAAATGAAAACTGGGGAACACTTTTTTTTATTTAAAATGGTGTAAATAGCTTCAGATTAGTAGTAATGAGTCTATAATTTATTTATTTTGATATCACTCACCATATATCACAGATTTATGTGGATTCCCAGCAACTCTCAAATGATTCAAACTAGCTGACTTCGAGGAAGAGCAATCCTCACCTGTTTCTGGTGTTGCAATAAGTCTTTTAAGCTTATCTAATTGGCTAGGAGAAGAGGAGAGATAGAAGTTAAAATGAAAAGTGAACATGCCAGTGGCAATATTTGAAAAATTGTTTCCAAGAGAATAATTGTTCCATACATATTAGAGGAGAGAAAACCCTGAGAATATGGCATTATTTCCTCTATACAAGACATACATCTTACATAGGGGAGTTCTGGAGGTTTTGTTCTTTTAGTATGAAAAGGACAAGTACCCTCTTATTAATTCATTCATTAAAGGTGAAATTTACCATTCAACTGGAGAGGCAGAATCAGAGTTGATTTTAAATAATTTTCGAGAAGCATTTGAGTTTCCACTATAAGTAGGTGTACTACATGAAATGGGTTTGATGGGACTTGATTGTTTTTCTTCAGCTTGTGCCTGCAACAAGATAGATAGATGGATATTCACTGAACATGATTAATTAATTTGAGTGATTGCTAATAGATAAGTGAGTAAAAAGAACTGACCATCATGGCTGTTGCAGACTCAGGAAAATCTTCTAATTCCTTATCTTGCACAGGAACTTCATGTAACTAAAACCAGGAATAAGAAAACAGTATGGACTGTTAGTTAAACATTTTAGAATACATTCAATATTAATAAATTTAGGTACAGCATTACCATCTCAGGAGTAGTCACAGTGTGAGCTCGTAAAACTCTCTTTCTTAATTCATGTAGAGGCTGTGACATACAAAATTAACAATCAGTACAACAACAGCATCAAATAACATTGTCATAAAGTGTTCAGTGATGTTTTAGAATCCTTTGTTATACATCAGAACATATTGAAGAATTCAAAATTTACCGTAGAATCTCTCCTTGAAGGAGAAGCAGGCAACTGACCAGGTAATTTGTCCAACCACTTCTGAATGCGTTTGCTTTCACCAGGCGTTGGATTGTCAGAAATACCAATTAGCACAGGTGGTGTTTTAACAGCATGAGGGTTAGGGGATGGAACATAATTGAGAATTTTATCAACCTGATTCATCAATTCTGGTGGGAGGGCAGTTTGCTCAGGAGTTTTCATGCAGGCAGGTTGCTTCAGTGAAGACTAAAATGTAAACAGGGATTAATTAAGATACAATAACATACAACTTATTAACACAATTAGAAGGTAAATTAAAATTTCTTTCAATATATGAGTTATGATTTTGAAAACTGGGTATGATTTTATTAAAGACACACTTATGATTCAAATTTTCCCCGAAAATTCAGTGAGGTGTTGTGTCAGTATAATACCTCGATCAATTAGAGACAACTCATAGATGGATAGAAATATTAATTTGAACTACTGACCTGACGTTTGTTGATTACTGAAGAGCTATTTATAAAACTGGTAGTTGTATTGTTCATAGCATCAAGTGGCTTGATAACCTGCTTAGGATCCACTAGATGACCCGTTTCAGGTACATGTGAACCGGTAGATGCACAACTAAGAAGCCACGAATGATATACAGCAGGACGGAACCATTTTATGGCAGCATCAAACTTGGCACTTTTCACATCACTTTTACAGATGAGGTGTGATGATGCTTTTGCATCAGTTTTAGTTTTTTTTGCAAAGACTTCTTGACATGTAGCACCAAGAGCTGAAGCTAGTTCTAAAATGAATTGGCGTTCTCTTCCAGAAAAACCACTGAGACCAATAACACAGCTCTCAAGTGGTTTCTTTGTTACGTCCAAAACAACTGGTTGGTGGTAATACTCCACTGACACAATAGATTGATGTTCACAGCAGGCCTCCAGCCAGAGTATAGTTATTATTTCAGTAGCTGTCTGTCTGAGTGTAAACCCTGTCAAGGGTACAACTGCATAATCAGGTACTCCTTTAAACGACTTGGGAACAACTTCCCCACCATGTTTTTTAATCAAATCTTTCTCAGCATAAGAGGCTGATTCATCAGGGAGTCCAACAATCACAAACTTTAAACCTAAATAAGAAGGAAAATTAGGTACAACTTGCTTAAATCTTCATTCGCACACACAATCCATAATAAAAAGGAAGGCATTTACTTACCAGTAAAAAACATATCATTTTCCTCTTGACTCACCACATCACTATTATTTGCATTTTTAGAGATATTGACTGGCTGTAGAATTTGCTTTTTTGCAGATGGAACAGGTGGTGGCGGCATACAGACAGCAGAGGAGTCAGCTGAAATATATTTTGCCAGAAGTTGATCACCTTTGTTTGGAGATGCGGTTGTCTTAGTCTCACTTTTAATGTCAGAATGATTTGGCTTTGGCAGTGGCTTTTGTGGAGAAAAATTTTGAAGAAGTGCCATTCCCTGTGTATAAAAGAAGGATGTCAGCATCATAACTTTAAGAATCTATGGTACACAAACTAAATAAAGATGAGTCATAAATAAACAAACCTTTTTACTTAATGGGGAAGGAGCTTCAGAAACATTCACGTTTTCGCTTGGCAAACAAATGAATGGCTCTTCCAAAACCGGTTTCTTTTCAGCCACACTCTGAATTAGCCACTTGATATTGACTACATGAGGTCTGCAGATAATTAACACTCATGACTAAATAACATTCTTAGAAGCTAAACAATACATGTACTGAACTAAACTTACTTCTGAGGTAATCCTTTTAAAGTTCGCAAAAATGGCTTTTCTAAGTTCCCAACTAGCACATGTGATACCCTTTCAGATAAATCAGTGAAACGAGCTGCACCACTACATTTTAAAATCTTCCTCAGGCTCTCCGTTTCATCAGGATTCCATCCCAGTAAATAGACCTAGAAATTAATTATACGTAGGTATACTTGAAGCTAGAGCAAAATGTGAAAGTAAAGTTGAGAACTTACCCGACAACCATCTAAGAATAAACCTGCTTTCTTCGCATGGCTTAGATTTAATTCACTGAGGAGATGCTTCAATTCCCCAGGGTTAGAACAAGGTAGGATTTTTGACTTCACTGGAGTTTTTACAGAAGCTGGAGGGGGCATTTTAACAGGAGTTTTGGCTTTTGAAATGGGACAATAACTAGCTACACTACTTATGGATGAATTCATCAATGTTTCGTCAATGTGTGTTCGATGATCAAGCTGGATGCTGCTCACATTGGCAGAAAAATTAACTGAAACAATAAAATAAAAAATAAAAAAAGTGTTGTTATACAATGATAGTATTCACATAACATTTGTAAAACAAAATAATTTAAAAATTAGTATATATTACCAGAGGCATTGCCCATAGTTGGAGATGAGGCAGCCCTGCCACCTTTAACTTCATATGATTTGGTTGGTAAGTTATGACCATTCTGTACACTATCATAAATCCATTTGGGTTCAACACATGGAATATTCCATTGTTGTGCATATTTGTACTTCTCCCCTTTGGGATGTTTTACAACTAAAACATCAATTTTCTGACTGAAAGATGGGTCAAAGTTCCCTCCTGAATTGATGAAAAAATTAGTATTTCAAAATTAACAAAGTAAATATATTTAAGTTAAAAGGAACAGAAAATAAGAAACCATTACCATTCTGTGCAACAAGATTCCTTAAGCGATCTAACTCTTTAATTATAAAACCTGTTGCACAAACATTCAAATTTAAAAAAGGAGGACACTTAAAATCGTTGAAAATTTCATCAGTTGCTAGAATGTATTCTTTCAAGCTCCGTTTCCATACAGCATTCACCCATTCATGAGTCCTCACTGGGATACCCAACTCCAATGCTTTCTATTACATGTAAGAAAATTTGACAAAATTGAGATATCATCAAAATTCTACTTAAAAAATCAATACTATGAATACTTATGATGTACCTCATATTTGGTTGATGCGACAGAAGATACCACAACATGAGTGGTAGTTTCATTGAAGCCTTTTGCATAGGTACCAGACATAAGTTCAACCTTTTCTTTAATTTCTTTCTGAAAAATGAGGATTATTTTGAAAACATTACTGTTTCACTTAAAATATAGGAACTAAAATGTCAGGTGCGGCGGAGTAGGCGATCATATGTTGTTGAGACCAACTCTTTGGGTCTCGCCGCACTCAACATGTTAGGAACAAGAGTTACACATACTTTAACTTCCAAGCCCCCTCCACTTGAAGTAATGACAAGGTCTTTCATGGCAGCAGTAAACGTTGGGTGAGGTACGAGAGGCATGTGTTCCTCTCGAATCAAACAATGATTGAGGCATCTAGGACCAGTGATACTGCTAGACAAACAGAAAGAAAAAGGGAATGCTCTAAAAACTTATAAAATAAAATATAAAAACATAATACACATATCCTTAAGAGAAAGAATAGGTGCTACATGAAATTTGCTTTCAAAAGGCACTTACACACACTTAAATCTTTTTAGGTATTCAAATGCCTTTCCTGAAAATTCTTGTAGAACAAAAACGCTTTTCTTGGTGGGCTTTAATTCTAAGCAGGACTCTTCCGTCTTCCAGCTGGGATTCAGTGTATTATCTTCACAACTTCGAAATGCATCTTGCATATTTTTATCGCAGTCACTGTGATTTTTTAAATTTTGAGGAATGACAAAAATTAAGTCAACATCATCCTCTTCTGCTTGTGAAAGCAAGATTGATGCCATGATTTTTTTTTATTGTTGTTGTGTTAAAGCTCAAACAACCAGTCAATGAAGTACGGCAGAGGTTAAGTACCACAAAATATTCTAAAGAATTGTTCAAGTACAAAATAAGTCTGTCCCGCCCGCGTCCCTATACCAACAGAAGAAATCAGATCACGGCTTGTCCACTCGACCATAGACTCGACCCCGAAAATCTGTTTTACCTATCTTACAAATTAAAATGTTGATGGTGTACTTGTAATACGTTTTAGATGATACAATGATGTGACTGTTAGAGAAAGAAATCTTCCATAACTTTCAGTGTCTACCGACTTAGGTTGGTAGAGTTGTGACAGTTTTAAGTGTCAAGTCAAGTAAGTATCTAGAATCTAGAACCAACATTTATTTAAAATTTCCGTGCTCTCTGATTTTTTGTATAATCTGTTGGCGATTCTAAAATAGTTCAACTGCTTCATATAACCTACGTCTCATAGTTTTAATACTAATAAATCGAACTTGATAGGCTGGTTGACGGACACCGGACACCCCTCCTCTTTCTCCACTCACTGACCTCGGTAGTCGCGGCGATTCGGCTTTCTGTGCTGTTGTGTGTTTTGTTTGGTGGTGTTTTGGTGATATTGACCATTAGTATTTTTTTGAATCACTGGCTTGACGATGCGGCGAGTTACTAAAGCGAAGGCATCCGATATGGGTTGTGGTACTGGTAAAAAAGCTTCCAGGTCTCTCAAGGCTGGCAAGAAAGGTTCTGAAGCCGAAGATGACGCCGAGGGTGGTGTATCACCGAACCCTTCGACGTCACTCAATGAAAATGGCAGTCCAAATGTCCCGAAGAATGAGGACTCTGATGATGAAGCCGAAACTTTCGAGGTTAGTGCTAATGCTGTTAACGACCCCGGCCCCGGCCTCACATATTTTCAGTTTTATTAGTTTCCATGTCGTGATCTTTAGCATGCAGCTCCCACATTCAAAAACACATCTACTCCCCTCCTCTCCCCCCTTTTCCCTTCCTCAAAAACAAAAAAACAAAAAACAGGTTGTCATATCTTTTTTTTCCTAAATATTGCAGGTTGAGATGATACTAGGATCACGTGTACGACATGGAAAGCAACAGTTCAAAATCCGCTGGAAGGGATATGGACCAGCAGATGATACATGGGAAGATGAAGAAAATGTGGACTCCCCCGAACTTATTGCCGCCTACCTTAGAGGGTCGCCTGACGAGGATAAAGTTAAGAAGTCTCCGAAAAAGAATCTTAAAATTCCACCTCGGCAAAAAGGAAAAAAACGAAGCAACACATCAGAGCTCAAAGAGAAACCAGCCAAGAAACCAAAACCAGAGAACGACGATGAAAATGCTGAGTGGGAAGTATGTAAACTTACATACTGAATTAAAATGATTGTGCCTTTATTTTTCTGCAATTATTTCCTTTGTTAACTTTGCATTAAATGTTTTAATTTCAGGTGAGCAAAATAGTTGATTATGTAGAACTTAAGGATGGAACCCGTCAGTTTCTTGTGCGATGGAAAGGATTTACCTCTAAGGAAAACACATGGGAGCCAGAAGCAAATTTGAACTGTGCAGACCTTATTGAAAAATTTTTAGCATTGAAACACCAGGTAAATGTGTTAGGGTTTATTTCATATTTATTTAATGATTCAGTGTTCCTGTTTTAAACTCATTCTCAATTTTAATTTTGTTTGAGCAGCAAGATGAAACCACCCGAGAAACGCGAGAAGTTCGTAAGCAAGTGTTCAAGTATAACCCTGAATTGACTAAACGTAGTAGTCAGCGATCATCAACCAAAAGAAGGTATGTATGCTGTTTAATTGACACCTTGAGCCCAGGTGGCTAGGCAACCTGGAAGTCAGGGAAAGGTTTAACTAAATGATGAAAGTATTGCACTTTATTTTTACTCTGGAGTTTCTGGTGATTTATTAGAGATTTGTGGGGCCGGATTCAGTAGAATCTAGATAGATGGTGCCTGCAAGAAAGCAGTAGAAAAATAACGTGGACTCAGGGACTAGGGCAAGTCGCCTGTAAGAGGAGTTGGGAGAACTGAGCGTGATTGAAGTGGGTGTGCTGTACCCGCTATAACTGACGCTGTGCTAACTATTGAGGTTCTACTGTGGTTTCACTGAAACGGTCACAAAATTTTCTGATGAAAGTCCTGAAAGTTTGCAACAAATTGCATCTTTATCCTAATGGTCTTTGTTTGGTAGCAAATATTTTGTGGGAAGCTTGGTTTCTTTTCTAGTCACTTATATTAAATTGAATTTGGAGCTTATTGATTTATTGCTAGGCTTTAGCTGTTTGGTGCTTTACCCCTTATCATACAGATCGGCAGGAAGTGAACTACAAGCTCCTGCGGTGATGCATTTTGCTTAAAGGTTTTCAGAACAGTTTTACCCCTGTGCATTTCAGTGGTGGTGATAGCAGTGTGGATGGCCCGGGTAACATCACTTCACACAGCTATTTTCAGCGTGGAGATTCATCCTTACAACGTTCACCAATTAATTTGTCAAATAGGCCTACTCTCTCATCATGGCGCAAATCACGAGGCTCTTACACATTTAGTTCCAAAGAAAACAGTCCATGGTACTCAAATTTGTCATCAAATTGTGTTGTCATGTAGCTGGGGTAATGCTCAGAGAGTGAGCAATTTTAGAGCCCTTCCAATGAAACTTGTTACAGAATACTCTCAGATACTTGGAGATTTAATCAAAATCTGAATGAATTGGTGCAATACCTTGAACCATTGTTTAGTATTTACCCTGTATTATTGCTATTACCTTTTTTTTATTTTTGGTATTATTATTTTTATCTGCATCATTTTCATCGTCATTATCATTTTTAATGTATTTGTTCTCATGAGTTAAAATGATCTCGCCCTCCTAACTTTTATTTAAGCGTTAGATTCCTGATAAAGTATAGGATTTTTTGAAACCAGTGTCAATCTTGCTTTTGTGATTCAAAAGTCATAACTCGTTATAACTGCATGATTTTTAAATTTGATTTTACAAATGTAATGCTCTCTATACCATAATTTCTGTGTCTTGTGTTTATCTTGTGTAATTACAATTCCGTAATTACAATGCTGCCGTTATTATTAGGGTGTAGTTATTTTTTTTTTTTTTAATGACTTATGAGTTTTATTTCGTGTGTGTTGCTATTATTAGTAACATCTATTTATGCTGTATGTTTCTGAAGAGTTTTCATTACAATAGGGTGGTGTAGTTTTCATCAGAATTGCACCAAATACCCAGAGCACAGCACAGACCTATTCCTTAGGAACTTGCAATAAATTTTAGAAAACCCTCATCCTAAGTTTTGTTGCTTAGTTATTTTTGTTTTTGTTTTTTAGTTTGCCCTAATTTTATCTCACTGTACTTGTACTCATGTTTTAAGGTCTTGAAATTAAAAACCAAAATACTAATCACTTAGTTTTTAAAGTGTAGGAAGTGCATTGGTTTTACTTTTCTTTGGCCAATCACAATCATCCATTTGTATGAAATGGGAGTAAAGGAAAACTATCTTTTGACTATCTGTAAATTTTTAGATTTTAGATCTATATTTGTGCAATCAAATAAATCTTCTAAATTATATTTCTTGCTACTTTATTGAACTGAACCATTTTTCCTCTCCTTTCAGTACATTAAATTTGTCACCTAGTCTATCTTAGGGAGAAGTTCCTAACAAGTTGTGCCCTGATGTTTTTTAACTCACCCTTTCCTTCAACCTTTTCTAGTAGAACTTTTGAACTCTAAAATAAAGAAAGTACTTAAGTTCATATTGACTTAGTTTAACAAACGCTTTATATTTCTTTTTCTTTGTCCACAGGGTCAGTTACCATGATTTGGAGTAAGGAGCTACACGGAGCGTGTTCCTATTATGATGAAGCCCTCACTATTTTTTTTGTTTGTGTTCATTTCTTTTAAAGTTAAAAAGTCTCCAAGTATTTTCCCAAAGGTATCTATTCATAATTACCTTCATTCTTTAAAATGGAGACTGATCTCTCTTTATTTCATTGGAATTATTTTATTTTTTGTTTCATTCTTTGTAATCATATTTTATTGTTATATTGGCACTGTCTTAAGTAGTAATAAGTGACTTGAATGGAGTACATCCTATAGATAACACTGTTGTATTCCCCAATTTTAAAATTTATCTATAATTTTTAATAATTACCTAAGTTGTGCAGATATGCAAAGCTGCAACATTTGTTCTGTGACAGTAAAACTAAGTAAAGTGTTTATGAATACTCCAATGTGTAAATGATCTTGAACCCAAACCCATATGTGAAATTAGCAGAATTTAGACAGCATACTTCTCAAGATCCCTTTTAGCTTTGTGTGAGTAGAGGATGTGTGGCACTCTTTCAAGCACTCTCACTGAAGAGATCAAAGGCGCAGATACTCCAAAGCAGCAGTTGTCTATGTATATATATTTATTTTTATTTTTTTGCTTTCACGTATGTACACTAGGTAGGTGGACTCACAGAGCCCGAAAACAGGAAGGCCATATTCAATAGAATAGAATGTCTATGGGGGAAGGGCTTATTGTCTAAGGCGCGAGTCGAGCCGTTCACTTCCTCCGCTGAGGACCATTGCGGGCGTTGAACTCCAGGGAGCGCAGGATGGCCTCGGGGATTGGGGGAGGCGTGGGCAGGATGGCTCCCTGGGGCTGGTAGCCGTTCTCGTCGGCAATGTAGGAGATCTGGACCGGGGTGCCGTCGTCAGCCGTGTAGGCGTACTGGCCCTGCACGGATTGGATGGGGCCGTCGCGGCCGGCGGGCTTCTGGTCGCCGATGGCCTGGGCCTGGATGCCATTACCCGTCTCGTACCTGGAAGCGAAAAAGACCGCGCGTTTAGGCCCGTCTTCGCGGCCCGGCGTCATGCGGCCTTGACAGACGGCTCCCAAGGCCGGATCCGGTCGGACCGTCTCCGGCAGTGCCGGTCAAGGACGCCGCACTGCCGCTCCTCCCGGGTCCACCCAAAACCGAGTCGAGAGAACAAGAAAATATTGCCGTCTCGTTTTCGTCGTGGCTACTTACAAGTACTGGAATTTGCCGTCGGGTTGAATTTGGGACTCGAGCCTCAGGATGGGGATGGGCTGCTGGGGTAGCTGGGCGTAGGCCACTGCCACCAGCATGGTTGCAACGACCTGC